AGTGATAACAACAAACTCTCCAATGCCAAAACGCAGGAAACAACCATTAATTTTCACCCACAACTCGCTTTCCTGTCCTGAGACAACTTCTCTCAATAATATACAATGAATAAGTTGATTTTGAATTTTAAATTGAGGGAGGTCCAAGAAGTACCCAAAACAACTAGCACGGAACATTTGAAGTTGCGTGTCAGTCAAACATTGCTTCAAAATGCTCACAATATCAGTCTCGGTATGGGAACTAATCCTGTTGTGGAAATGATCAACTGGTTGTATATAGAAGTCCCCAACATTGCATATGGAAAAATAACAAGAAATAGATCAGGAACAAAAACTATAATAAAATATTCTATAAACATGTATAAATCAGTGTAGCAGTACTTGTATAAAGATGTATAAACAGTTGTATAACTTTGTATGAAATTGTATAAGCATGTATAAAATTAATAGCAACACAGGAAATACCTTGAGCTTAAATTTTCTCTCATTCAATTTGCAGCGAATAGCAAAACCTTTTTTCTTTCGATATGCAATCAAGACCACTCTCACCATCGTCCTTGATCTTTCTCCTTTTCGGTTTAACACTGGGGCCTACATCATCTTCATTAACCAAATCAACTTTCAGCTTTTCTTTTGATTTTTTAGGTCTCCCACATTTCTTACTCCTTATTCTAACGATGTTAACCGGAGTAGGAGTATTACTCGTTTGCGAACGAGTCATTTGACTGCTCTCTTGTTGCAACTTTTTTGCAGGAGCAGGAGACTCAAAATCATCATCATCGGGAACCTAGACATGCGTATTCGCTTCAGAAGCAGAGGTTGAGGGCAAGTCCCTCGATGATTTAACTGGAGTGGGAGTATTCCTCATTTGCGAACGAGTCATTTGACTGCTCTCTTGTTGCGAGTTTTTAGGAGGAGCAGGAGACTCAAAATCATCATCATCTGGGGCCTGGACATGCACATTAGCTTCAGAATCAGGGCTTGAGGGCAAGTCCCTCAATCTTTTCGCATAATCGAACTTAATGCCTTTTCCAGCAACCATCATTTTGCTTTTAGAAGAAGGTATTTTTGAACGCATTTTCTACAATAAAACAAACCAACAAAGCTTTAACAAAAGTGAAGACAAGTGAAGGAAAACACAAAAATCAAACCAAAAATAAAGGCCATAAACACAAAGCAGAGGCCAATTTTCCCAAATTGTAACAAAA